CTCTCTCTCTCTCTCTCTCTCTCTCTCTCTCTCTCTCTCTCTCTCTCTACCCGAGCACCTCACAGGCCCGTGGTCGAGACTCCAGGGCGGCTGGGCGTGGGGCGCAGGGAGCGCGCTGGGTGTTCCTCCATATTTCATGAACGCCTCGACGTGCACGGTGGTGGCGGGGAGCGGCGCGGTCGGAGATGCACTCGGGGCGGGGCGTTCAGTCCGGCGTAGTCGAGTGGGGAGCGTGAGTGAGAGAGCGCTAGAGAGACAGAAAGGGAGGGAGGGGATTCATCCTATCTCTTGCGTAGGCTGAGGCGTTTTCATCAGCGAAGTGAGAGAAGTTTGGACAAAGACTCTGCTGGCATACCATACCACGACACTGTTTCTCACTCATTAATACATACAGAACGTGAAAAGAGAGAGCCTTCTCGCCCCCTCACTTGGCAGTTGGCAGGATGTTAGTTAATACAGTGTTGAAGAGAGAGAGAGAAGGGGGGAGTGAAAGGAATCGAGGCGAGGGGGTAGAGGTGAAAGGAGGCGAGGTGGTAGGGATGAAAAGCATTGAGAAAAGAGAGGCGAAAGAGACCTGAGAGAGTCAATGTTCAGTGTCGCTGTCCTTCAATCAGTTGCGGAAATCTGCCCAACCCACCTGGGAGACCCTCTCCCTTTATATTCATGTGTGCTGCGGCTGCGGTTGCTGCTGCATTCGATTGCGTATACACCCAGAAAAAAGAAGAGCTGTAGCAACCGTCGTGCGGTAAAAACAGGGGCATGGTTGAGGCAACATGAAAATGGCGAGAACTAAAATACGGTTCTGATAACTGAATGGAAGAAATTGTATCACATCTAGAAAAACAAAAATTCCCATTGATCTGAGGGCATTTCCATTAATTCGATAAAACCATTTTCTCTGAGTGACGGAGCCATTCGGTGGTTGGTGTATAGAGCCTTTCCACCGCTCTTGCTGTAAAAGTAGGCAACCCGTCACCCGGTGACACCTGCACACAGAGTGACACCTCGCAGCCCCCCAGCGTCGTATGACCCTGCGCCGCGCAACACAGGGTCATCTCCAGCGGCGGTGTGTATTTAACGACGACGTCCTCCCCGTCTCCTTGACGGAGCGCGTTAAAGAAACAGAAGGGGCCGCTATATAATAGTGTCGTCCGACAAGATGAAGAAGAGCGACGCGCCGCGGGAGGAGAAGCGGGAGGACGAGTCGCGAAAGATTATCTTACCGGCGCGGCCTGCCCACCCCCACCTCACCTACACCCGCCCCCCTCTGTTCCACGGGCAGCAGCAGCAGCAGCAGCAGCAGCAGCAGCAGCAGCCTTGCCGGGGTTGCTGACCGCGAGCGACCCCTGCAGGGGCAGGGCCCCGTGTGGCTGCACTGCAGGCGGGTGGGCCAACTCCCTCCCCCTCCTCCTACCTGCCCTACACAATGGGACCGCTCCGCGACCACACCGCCCCACCCTCGCCCTTCTCCTCACACTCACTCACTCACTCGGCCTGCGCTCTGCTTGCGCGTATTGATTTCTCCCCAGAGACATTCTTCTGACTTGGACTTTGAGTGTTTGCGGGCCGCACACGAGGAAGCGAAGCGAAGCGGGAGAAGGGCCGTTAGTCCCAGCGCGCCCGCGGCGTGGCGGCGTTCTCGGAAGCAGGCACAGAGTTTCCGATTACACAGAGAGCAGCGGGCTGGCAGAGACTCGGAGCGGAGCAAAAGCGTATACCAAGAAAGGTTTCGAGGTTTCGTTCGCATGATTCACTTCGAGATTTCCGCTTATGATCACCAGATAAATATCTTGAAGGGACAATAACTGTGATATATGCGACCACTAGTGGTCATGACTATGAGTCAAATGAAGAGAGCTGACAATGTTTTAAATTTCTTCCGCAGGCATGCAGTGCAACAGCGCGCTCGTGTTGGTGGTGGTGGTGGCGGCCATGTGGGCGTCGCCCTGCGCGGCCTGGGGCGGCGTCTTCAACCGCTTCAGCCCCGAGATGCTTTCCAACCTGGGCTACGGCGGCCACGGCGGCTTCGGCAACAGCCACCGCACCGCGCCCTTCCTACAGGTAGGTGCCCGGAGAAAAGAATTCGATCAAAATTAATGATCAAAAGTACAAACAAGTCAAATACGACTTGAAAACCCACCAAGTCCCTTAAGGCGACGAAGTAAAAATAAATGTATGAGTATGCATGAGCTGCAGCTAATGATGTGGACAGTCCGAGCGACTGTTTGCGCAAACAGGGTCGCGTACGGCAGTGGGGTGTACCACCCAGAGAGCAGAGCGTGGGCAGACGCGAGCGTGGACGCAACCGTGCCAAAACCTGCTTTGAGTCGGCATTGGATGCGTGTGTGCGATGTCTGCCTTTCATGAGGGTGGGCGGGGATGGGAACCGGAGAACCGGAGAGCGAGATTATACGCCACATATACACGCCGTCAGATGGACCAGAGAAAAAAACAAAAAAAAGAGGCAAAAGAGTCCCGACATTATCTGCCCCGTGTTTTCTCTTCCCGACTACTGGGGGTGCGCGGGCCTCCCCCCGGCTCGGCCAGACCCCGACTGCTTCTTCGCCGAAAAGACACACATGAAAAACACGACCGCAGACATGGAGGCGCCGGCCGCCTTTAGAACAACACGGCTGGACCGTTATACCGCAAAAGAGGCAGAAAACGACTCCACTCACGTCAGAGCACCGTCTGCGCTTCTTTGGGAAGACGCGATGTCAGGTTTGAGCAAGGCCGAACGGGCGCCCGGCCGGAGAGCCTGTGTCTGGGGTCGTCATGACAGCCACTTCTCCTGTTTCTGGCTTCGCCAAGAGGCAAAAGTCGTTCCTTTACTGTTTTGCCTCTCTTTCCCCACCACTCTCGTTCTCTCCATGTCTCTCTCTCTCTCTCTCTCTCTCTCTCTCTCTCTCTCCGCCCGAGCTTTGAGTGGGTGCTCACAGGCGACGCTGTTCAGACGAAAGCGGCGCACGCAAAACGAAACAGACGCGTTTCTTTGGAAAAAATAGGTCAGCATAATAAAAGACACCCCAGAATTAATTCAACATTCTTGTAGTAAACGTAATGTATTAATTTAGAACATCAGCGGGTAGCTTCAGTTGAATGTGGAGAATAAAAAAGGTGCGGTACATATCACGTTACAATACCCCATTATTTTGGCGCCCGTCCCGGGGCACGTTATTCGGCGTCCCTCGGGGGCCTGGTCCTACACGGTCCTACACTCCTGAAAGGGAGCTGCGCCCACGAAAGTACAAGAGCCCACAAATCTCCACCCGTGCGTAGACTGCCCAATAGACGCCAACCCACCAACCAGGCACTTATGGCCTTTCTGATAGAGACAGTCTTGGGGGCGGCCCACCGTGGATAGGAAAAAAACAAAAAAAAAAAACCTCCTAATTAAGTTAGCTTATGACCACAAAAAAGTGCCCGAGGCCTCCGGTGGTATCGAGGGCGCGACTAAACAAAATAAAACACCCTTGTGTTACACCTCCGCGGGCGGGAGGGGCCGTATCAGCCGGCCGCTTACGGTGCCCGTCGTCGGCAATAAAACGTCAGTGTGTGTGCGCGAAATACACAACGCCGCGCGCGTCAAAATGGCGAATGGCGCGTTTAAAGGCGGGCGTCGAGGGTCCCGTCCCGTCGCGCGCGCGCCGTCCCACGAGATTGTCGCAACGACCTGCGAAACAGTCGCGCGAGGCGGCGCGGCCGCGCCACCGCGCCCGTCCCATATATCCGAAATAGGGTTACTCTCCGCCACGACCGCCGCCACCGCCGCCTCCAACGCCGCCCTGTCGCGCCGGGGGATTTTACTGCGGAGTGGGGGGCCGACAGCCGTGGGTAAATGGCAAGCGGAGATGTGGCGGGAAAAGGTTTCTGTCATGAGAGATTTGCAAAAAATAAAATTATATGCAAATTAGATTTCAAATTCCAGTGCGAGGTCTGGAGGTGGGCGAGTCGCGGGGGCGGCCTGGGAGGGAGGGAGGAGGGGGAGTCACCCGCACTTCCAAACCCCGCCACCGCCCGCCGCCGTGCTGCCAGGGTGACGCGGGTGGGAAAAACTCATACAGGCAGACTCAACTGGAAAACACACACACACCCCTGACAAATCGGTCTTGCCACCCCGTCTTGGGCGATTAGTGTGTCTAGCCCCTCCCTTCCACCCCTCTCCCCCTCTCCCTCCCTCCCTCCCTCTCTCTCTCTCTCTCTCTCTCTCCCTCTCTCCCTCTTTCTCCCACTCCCCCCTAGCGTTGCCCTGTCCGTGTGACTCAACAGTGAGGGCCGGCCCCGCCGCCAGCCCACGGGGGAAATCACCAAGGCGTTACCTCGACCATCACGACGCAGCGCCACGCCGCGCCACACACACACAGTCGGGCGGCAATAACAAAGAAAAGTCGAAAAGTCTCCCGTTCGCAACTACAAAAATAATTCAAAAATAGTTCAAGCACTTTGAACATAAGTTGAAACACTTCAAACGCGTGACAAAAGAATCAGCGCGCGAAAAAAAGACAGGAAATACGCACTGAATGCGGAAAGCTCTAGCTCTAACTCACGTAAATAAAAGGTATACACTGTAAAAAAAGTTTTACTGAATTTTCAGTACTTTCAGTCTGAAGTTTTTTTACAGACCAGTAGTCTGAAAATTCAGACTGTACTCATGTCTGAAATTTTAGTAGTGCCTTACCGTACCACTTAGTCTAAAAATTAAGACAGCCGGTATGAAAATATTTTTGAAAATGTTAAAAATGAACCCGTAGCCAGCGACTTAACACTTGTTGAGGCAGAGGGTTATGCCCAAGTGGAAGGATCTTTCTATTTGGTACTGCCGTTGGTTGGGATAGAACCACCAACCTTCGGGTTAGGAAACCGCCACCTTAACCATTCGGCTGCGGGCTACCTGCGTGGGGATCAGCGTCGGCTACTGGTGTGCTCCTTCCGCGTGCCCGGTGGACTTTCCAGTGAAAATTAATACCGGTAACTCTGAATTACAAATTCAGTGTATAGTCTGAAAATATACTTCAAAAATTTCAGACATATTGCTCTGAAAACATGATTCAGAGTAAAGAGTCTGGATTTTCAGTCTAATCTCAGAAAATTTTGTGTAGTGGTCTGAAAACAAGATTCATAGTGCCAAATCTGAAGAACGTCTACTGAATTTTCAGAATTTTTTTTACAGTGTAGTGAGGGCTGAGGGCACGGAAACTCTGTTTTGGGGGTGATAAGATAAGCGGACATCCGACAGCGAGGCAACACGCTGAGGGCATTTATATTGATTAGAGTGACTAGAGACCAGCAGCAGTGACACGCAACGCACTGCAACATGATTGGAGAAACACTACACGACACGAGCAAAAGGGCAGACCGAGTAGTTCGTGTTAGGGGTACCAACGACGTCCGGAGGGTGCTGCCGCCGGGGCACTGCCGCGAACGAGGGGGCGGCCAAGAGCAGGAGGGGAAGGGCAGGGGGCGCGGTGAAGCGGGG